TGCACAAGCAAGTAATAGGTTTGTTAAGGGGAACCTCACAAAACATATTGCACCTAAGTCCTTCGACCCACATGAACTCTAGAAGAGTGGTAAAATTCTTGTTGAGAAAGTTCGCCCCAGTGAACAATCTGGCAGATACGTTCACTAAGTCTCTGCCTACATCCACTTTTGAGTAATATGTTTATAAAATTGGGAAGCGTAGGCTTAGAAGATTGTTGTCTTCAGGGGACGAATAGACTTGAAAGATTGTTATATTCAGGGTGAGCGACAACCCCTAGCTGCACTAGAATGGACAATATAGAAGACTTTTGAAATCATGAAGATTATGCTCCTAAAGCATATGGTGTACTATTTTTCCCGCAGGGTTTTCTTAAGCTAAGGTATAAATGAGGCAACTGATGCAGGTGCACTTGAGTGGATAGTCCTGAAAACCCTTGAAATCTTGAAGATTATTGATAGACATATTTTACACTCTTATTTTATATACATCTTTATAATATTTTTGCATTAGTTATTTATAATTATTTCATTTTAGAGTTTAATAATTATAATTATTTAGTTAAATAAGTGTTTTATAATAATGTTTAATTAATAATTTAAGTTTAGACTCCATTTAGTTTATAGTCCAATTCTATGGTATAATATTTACTATTATTTTTGTTTGTCCCAATCTATTTATACTATATATAAAAATAAAATCATGAACTTTAACTTCCTGCTCAATTCCTAAAAAATCTCACTTTCTACTAAAATATATTGTTTTCTACTTTACTATTCGTACTATAATTCTAGGTTAAAATTCGTATTCTAATATTATAAATAGTGAAATACAATTCCTAAGAGAATATATTGTTTCCTACTTTCCTATTCGTACTATAATTCTACATTAAAATTCCTATTCTTCCCAAACTTCACCCCTATGACCAGTTGAGCTGCGCATGCGGGCATTAAAATTTCTATTCGTAATACAATAAGACAATATATTATATCTGGCACTACAAATACTCCATTCGTAAATATATTCTATCTGGCACTACAAATACTCCATGTGTAACTCTTTGAACGCACAAAAAAATCTCGCACTACAAATACAAGAAACGAAAAATCTAACAATATTGTAGTTTTGGCGATTTGAAATTTTATAATCTATGCATTCCAACAATATTGTTTTTTTTAACTAATGGAGTCTATTTTTGTCGTCTCTGCTTTCGACCTATCTCCCAAGACGAGAAAAAGTTGTATAAGCCTCCAGCTCATGCGTTGTTATTTGTCATGGGAATATCCACGTTCCACAGTCAACCAACAGACAGTGGAGGTGCTTACTCCATGACTCCCAGGTGAATGTTATTAATTATAGTTCTATGATTTGTAGTAAACGTTGATAATTTTGATTTTATTTTACTAATATTTTGTTTCTCTAATTTTCAATTCTATTTTGGCGTGTTTGGTAAATACTTATTAGCTGATTGGGTATAACAATGAGTTTGACGTCTCTTTTCTTTCAGTTTTATGCATTGAGTTACTTCTCAACTCCAAGTGATTGTAATATTGTTGCTCTCTTGCAGGCATTTGCATCACAGTATATAGGGGTGTAAACAAATCAAATAAAAAAAAATCGATTCGTGATTCGAATACGAATCCGAATTTGAATACTTTTTTCGATTCAAATATATTTCGAATACGAATACGAATTAGAGTGTATTCGATTCGAATAGTATTCGAATATTTTCTGCTATTTAAATATAAATTTTTATTATATTTTATCTTAATTTATTGGCGAATTTTGTAAAAAAATGAACTTAGATATTTCGAATTCGAATATTTGAGTCGAATCGAATATATTCGAATAAACTCGTCGAATCGAATACGAAACAAATTTGAGATTCGAATATTAAACGAATATGAATACGAATATTCGAATATTTAGTCGAATTCGAATCGAATAGTGAGATATTTGACTCGATTCGATTCGTTTATACTCCTAACAGTATATATACTGCCAAAAGAAGAAGAAAAAAAAAACATAGAAAAATTATGTAGACACAAATTAAATTCAAATTAGAAAATGATTTGTTTAACTAAGAATATAATTATGAAATAGGTGGAATTTTATGAAGATAACTTACAGATTTTCACTATTTTTTTTTCTTGGGGAAATAGTGTTTTTTTTTTTTTTTTTTTTTTTTTTTTTTTTTTTTTTGCTATGCTAGGTTAAAAATGGAAACAAATTAATAATTTTTTCAATCTTCATTTAAGGAGTCTTTAATAGCTTCAGTTATAAGTTTTTTTTATTTAAAAAATATAATACAAGAGCGTTTTGGGAAAATGTTAATAATAATATTATTATTATTATGCAATAATAAAATAAAATTTATAATAATTTATAATAATACTAATAATAATAACAATAAAAAATGAATAATAATAATAATAATAATAATAATAACAATAACAATAACAATAATAATAATAATAATAATAATAATAATAATAATAATAATAATAATAATAATAATAATAATAATAATAATAATAATACAAAGCAAAAAAAAAAAAAAAAAAAAAAAAAAAAAAAAAAACCAAAACAAAACGTAACTGATGTGGAATCAACTTTGCTCTCACATCGTTACTGAATGAATAGGAGCTCAAAAGAGCTCATCTATATAATAGGAACATTGTTTCAAACTGTTGAAGGACCAAATGACTTTTTTGGCATTTTGTCTCCGGTCAAAATGTTAAAATGGCGGATCTGTCAAATAAAGGTTAGAGTGGTGTGTTAGAGTGGTGTGTGCCTATAAGATTTAGAGAGAAGAGGTACTGAAACAGTGAAGTCTATAGAGTGTGTATTCCATGATGATGGGGAATTGTATTTTTGTACTATCGTTTGTATATTTTTTAATTCAAAATGTTTTGTGATGGGGTGTGAACCTCGGCCCAAGAAGAAGTACAAAAGGAGAAGCCCAAGAGGGAAGGGGAAGTCCAAGAAGGACGAAGAAGCCCAAGAAGAATAACATACGACCCAAGGTGGGGAACCCGAATAAGTAATAAGGCCTGGAAGAGACTAAGGTCGAGCCCAGGAGTCGGCCCGAGCTTAAGGATAGGACTGGGACTCGACCGGATTGGTAAAGAGCCGTTGCACGACATTTATGATGGCATTGAAGAGCTCGGTCAAAGGAGCCGTTGGGAAGCCCAATAACGGCAGCCCAATGGCCCTGTAGCGTAAATAGCACTTAAGACCCCTTAAATGTACTTGAAGTCAGATTAGAGGGGGGGGGGGGGGGGGGGGCACCTATATATAGGCCCCTCCGAGAGTGTGAAGGGGAGGCGAGTCCAGGCCCAGAGAATAGAGAAACAGTTTTCCACTTTTATTCATTCCTTTCCATTTCGTTAAAGCTTTGTTGAAAGGTGAATCCACCAACCAAGGTTGTGTTGGACCTCCCTGGGCTCAAAAACCCTAAAACCAACACTGGCGCCGTCTATGGGGATCGAAACGAAGAGCCACGTTTGCTCTTGAGCAACAGAATTCGCAAAGGAAGAGAGACAAACGAGCGAGAGAATGTCTAAAGAACGAAGTCGCGTTCCCGACGGCAACCGCGAGCCGGAAGCCGACTTAAGAGACCAGCTGAACCAGCGAAACGCGCAAAGTCAGGAAAATGATTTGGCGCCCCGAAACCGACCCCCGCAGATGATACCTCTCACCCCGGAGCAGCTTAGGGCCATCGTACGAGCTATTGCTGCCGAGAATCGGGAGAGAGGAGAACCGTCGGTTTCGCGACCATCGCCGCGCAACCAGCAACCGCCCCAAAGGTCGAACGGGGATAGAAGAGAGGATCAGCGAGTGGAGGATCCACCGGCACGGTCAGTCCATTCGAGATTAGGCCCGAATGTGACGCGACAATCGGCGAGAAAACGGCTAGGGGAGAGAGAGCCCAGCCGCGCACTAGCAAACCAACGAAATCGAGAAGTCACTCGAGAGAAAACCCGCACCAAGAAGACTCGAATTCGGGCACGACAAACCGAGCGACTTACTCGTAATGATGAGCGACAGGTCGAGTCACAGGCCGGTGAAAGCACCGAGTCCACAGGAAATCACACCCGAAACGCCGAGGATGTGGCCCACTTGGCCCAAGAGCTACGGAATTTGAAGGAGCAAATGGAAGGTCGAACCAAGTCCCCATGTAAGACGTTACTCACTGCCTTGCCCTTCTCGGCCAAGATTATGGCGTATAAGATACCTGGCGACTTTAAGTTCCCTGAACAGGCCACCTTTGACAGATCCGGCGACCCACGCGAGCATCTTTTGAGTTACCAAGCTAAAATGCAAGTGCTGGGGGTTCGAGATCCCGTCATGTGCTGCGCTTTCCTGCCGACACTGAAGGGATCGGCGCAAAGATGGCTCGTGGCCCTGCCCCCGGGCTCAATTCATAGCTTCGAAGAGTTGACTAATCGCTTCATGAGTCATTATGCGGCTAACATTAAACCGCAAAAGGATCTAACACATCTCGGGGATATCCATCAAGAGGAGGGCGACTCTCTCAAAACTTACTTGGCCCGGTGGCAAAAAGAAATTCAGTCCATTGAGGAAGTAGAGGACCAGACTGCTCTCACCTTCTTCATCGAATCGCTGCGATCCGGCCAACTGTATCGCGACCTTCGGGACAACCCGGCCCGCCACATACGCAGAGGCTATTCACATGGCCAATAAGCGGGCCGATACGGAACAAGCCGTAAAACATAAACGACAACGAGAAGTCGGAGGATCCTCTGGGGGAAAACGAACCCGGACAGAGGTACGAGAGAGACGCCCAGATTCGGCCCGGCGACCCGAAGCTCGACGTGCATTCGACAGACCCAGCATCCAACCATATCGGCCGACCTCCCAGCATCCAGTACATGAAGTACAGGCTGTCGCGCCGCCTCCTACTGGAGAGCGCGCGGTGAATGAGGCTCCGGGTAAGTCATGTAAGTATTGTCGATATCACAAATCCTACACCCACAGCATGGAGGAGTGCTACTATCTGAAGAAAATCATGGAGGGGATTATTCAACAAGGGACACCGCCTCCCAACCAATGGCGAGGGAGATTTGTGGCTAGGGAAGATGGCGACCCCTCAGAGACGGTCGAAGGCAATCGCTGCAAGCAGTCGGCAACCGACGAAGAAGAAATCCAGTGGAGACAGAAGCCGGTTATCAATATGATAGTCGACGGACCAGAAGGAGGCGACTCTGCCAACACTAGAAAGGCCTGGGCTCGGCAATTGTACGTGCGGACGGTTTACGGGCGAGAAGGTGGCTCGAAGAAAGCATGTCGAGAGCCTATTGCCTTCACAGACAAAGATCTACCCACCGGCGAAACACCACATCGCGACGCTCTAGTCATCGCAATGGATGTAAATGGAGTAGTTGTCCGGCGAATCCTGGTGGACACCGGAAGCAGCGTTAATGTCTTATATCTCGAAACCTTCGTCAAAATGGGATTATCACGGGAACAGCTAGCCTCAGTCAAGACGCCACTGGCCAGCTTCACGGGCGACTCCGTGGAAACTGAGGGATCTATTGTTCTGCCCGTCGAGGTGGGTACATATCCCGATGTACAGAAGCTCGACATGAAATTCATCGTGTTCGATTTGGCATGCTTTCACAATGCAATCCTCGGCCGACCTGGTTTAGAAGATTTAGGAGCTCTGATCTCCGTTGAGCATCTTTGCTTAAAGTTCCGCGCACCAAGTGGAGTAGGTACGGTGCGTTGCGACAGAAGAGCCGCCCGCTACTGCTACCTACAAGCCTGCCGGGGTATGAGCAAATGAGAGATACAGGTCCATGAGATCACGGAACGACCTCTGAAGAAGACGATGCCGCCTCGCCCTGACCCGTCTCAACCAGAAAGGCGAGTGAAGATTGGAGTCGGCATTCGCGAAGAAGTGCGAGAGGAAGTTATCAAGGTGCTCCGGGAAAACCGCCTAGTTTTCGCATGGGGGCCCGAAGACATGCCTGGAGTGGACAGGTCTGTCATCTCTCACCGGCTCGCTGTCGACCCTGGCCACCGACCCGTGATACAGAAGAAGCGATACCTGGCTAATGATCGCCGAGAATTCGTCAAGAGAGAGGTAAGTACACTATTAGCCGCTGGCCATATCCGGGAAGTCAAGTATCCGGAATGGTTAGCCAATGTGGTGCTCGTGCCGAAACCACCAGCCTGGAGGATGTGTGTAGATTATACCGACCTTAACAAAGCCTGCCCAAATGACCCTTTTCCTTTGCCCAGAATTGACCAGTTGGTCGATGAAATGGCAGGGTTGGCGTTGCTGAGTTTCATGGATGCCTTCCGAGGGTATCACCAAATCCACATGCACAAGGCCGAAGAGGAGAAAACAGCCTTCCTAACCCCGGATGGCGTATACTATTATCAAGTCATGCCCTTTGGACTCAAGAACGCAAGAACCACATATACGCGAATGGTCGCTCGGCTGTTTCAGGATCTGTTGGGAAAATCCATGGCAGCGTACGTAGATGATATGCTGGTGAAAAGTCGGGAAGAAGCCAGTCATGCCGGGGACTTAGCTGACTGCTTCCGGGTAATGCTTAAGTATAATCTGTGGCTTAACCCCAAGAAATGTGACTTTGCCGTACAAGGGGGGAAGTTCTTGGGATACATGGTAACCAAAAAGGGCATCGAGCCTAATCCCGAGAAGGTGTAGGCTATAATGGACATGCAGCCTCCTGGCACTGTTAAGGATCTGCAACGGTTGACCGGGCGACTCGCCGCCCTGAGCCACTTCCTAAGCAAGTTAGCGGACAAGACTGTGCCCTTTTTCGAAGCCATGAAGAGGAAGGAAGGATTCGTATGGACGGCTAAGTGTCAACAATCCTTTGAAGAGCTGAAAAGGTATCTTTCCACACCTCCAGTTCTGTCTACCCCCCAGGTTGGCGAACCTTTGTTCTTATACCTAGCGACTTCTGCCAAGGCTGTGAGCTCGGTACTTGCTCGAGAAGAGGAACGAATCCAGCATCCGGTGTATTACGTTAGTCACTCCCTAAAGTCGGCTGAGACCCAGTACACGCCTCTGGAGAAAATAGTTTATGCTCTGGTGATCACAGTACGAAAATTGGCTCCCTATTTCCAGGCTCACACCGTCCGAGTCCTGACCGACCAGCCTCTGGGAAGTGTGTTGCGGAACCCCACCTCGTCTGGTCGACTCGTGAAATGGGCAGTAGAACTGACCCAATATGGGATCGAGTACTAGCCTCGACTTTCTATTAAAGGGCAGGCCTTGGCCGACTTCTTGGTCGAATGCACCGCGGGAGAAAATGGCCAAGCCTCAGCCTCAGAGGAAGGCCCCGGCGAATGGTGGGAGATGTATGCGGACGAAGCCGCGAGTCGCCAACACTGTGGCGGCGGAGTCATGTTGATCACACCTGAAGGATTTAAACTCTACTACGCTTTGAGTTTCTTATTTCAGGCATCCAACAATGAAGCTGAATATGAGGCAGTATTGGGAGGGCTCCGACTAGCCAAGACGTTAGGTGCAGACCGCCTGCGGGTCAAGACTGACTCGCGTCTAATAGTAGGACAGGTGTCGGGAACCTGCGAAACCAAGAATGCCCGGATGGCACGATACAAAGAAAAGACAACGGAAATATTGAAAGAATTTGTGGCTTATGAGATAGAGCACATCGCGCGAGCCGACAATACGGAAGCTGATATATTGTCAAAGATAGCCTTGGAAGGCGTGCCAGATCGTCACGTGAGAATTTGCCAGAAGGAGGAATTACTCTGACCTAGCATAGAAGAGACAATTGCCGAGATTCAACAAGTGACGACCCAGGAGTAGGATCGCGACAAGAATCTGGAAATGTTTTGGGTGGACGACATTCGCCGTTACAAAGAAAAGGGAGAACTGCCCGACGATCCCGCGGCCGCTGGCCGAGTCCACCGCAAGGCTCCATCATTCGAGATCATAGACGGACAATTGTATAAGCGATCATTCGGGGGTCCTCTCCTCAAGTGCCTGGTCAGAACGGAGGCGGAAAAGATAATGAAAGAAGCTCATCGTGGGATATGCGCAGCCCACCAAGGCGCACACACACTCGCCCGGAAGCTAGTCTTCCAAGGCTATTACTGGCCTACTATGATGAGAGACTGCATAGAATGGATATCCAAATGCGTCGTCTGCCAGGCATTCGCCCGGAGAGATACTCTGTAACACCCCCTATAAACCAAGCTATTTAAAGCCTCAAATATGCAGATATCTAACAAAACATCAAACACAGCGGAAGACTGAAAGAGAAATATATATAAACTAGAAGAAGAGGGGTGATATGCCACATTCATCTAGGGATGAACGCACAGGCTATCATCTGCATAAATCAAAGTCTAAAACCATACATGTTCAAAGTTCTAAGTCTAAACTGGCTCACAGGCCACAAAACATAGGGAAGGAGCTACACTAGCTGGCACTAAACCGCGCTCTCGTCTAAACATCACCTGAAAGAAACACATAAAAAGATGGGACGATGCCCGATCAGCGAATAATGATGGTAACCCACCAATACATGTGAAATATCATACATAGATAAGATATACGTTTGTAAAGTCATTTGTGAAACGGAATACATATATATAAGTTCAAAACCAAGAGCAAAGGTCAACATAAGACTCAAGCACTCACAACAAGATAAGGGAACACATCCCAAGACCACGAAGGACAACAACAACTCACCAGGACGGCTCGAGGTATAATCTATCATCACACAATAGATTAACACCCGACATGCACAACTCAAGAGAATAAGGACACACCCAACGGCAACACATGCCTTTGTGACTACACACGTCACAAGAAGAGAACTCACAACAACGGCTACACAAGCCCTCGTGACATCACCCATTACGAGTTGATATGCCTTCCTTATGCCCGGTTCCAACCTTATGGCTACCCCCAACCTTATATCTAGTTCCAACCTTTACCTCCAGGACCCCTGTACACCAAGTCCAACCTTATTCCCCCGGGAACCGTCGTTCCCCCTCCAATAGTCCCTCCAACAGAACCACCGATTTCATAGTACACGAGGGTACCGATCACACACACGGCAACACATGCGTCCCAAGAAATACATGAACCTTACACAAAGGCCACAGCTCCATAATCACGTCATGGCCACCACGAGGACCACTGCAATACCTTGGTGACTAGTGTCCCATACCACTAATCGTGCAATCCAGGTAAAACCACACACACATCACACCTCAACAGGAATCAATCAACGGATCACAACGAAGATATGAAACCATACTCAATCAAGGAATGGATCACAATCCAACAACAACAACGATGAATAACACAAGTTATCATCAACCAATAAGAAGGTACGAACAACACACACGCTAGCATTTAAACATCAAACTAGCATGCTTATCAAACGGATAAACCAAACGTAGTTCCGAAGAACACACAAGACTCATCACGGTTCAACGAAACACAATGTTGAACACTTAGCACGATTCAAGACACCAAAACCTACATGGATTCCTACCATATTGTTCTAGACATACGAAACATCAAGAAGACACTCAAATAGTTCCACAAAAGAACAACGGGAAGTCAAAAGACCAAATACCGAGTCAAAAGAATCACGGGGAACAAATCCCGAACATCCACCATGATGTTCCCCGCGGGTGGACCCACGGGTAGGCTCCCACCCGTGGTTCTCCCCGCGGGTACATACCCACCGGCCATATGTTCCCCGCGAGTGGGCGGCGGGTGGACACCTACCCGTCGTTCCGCCCGCGGGTACGTACCTGTGTCCAAAATAATCCCTTCGGGGGTTTTCAACTCGAAGCTCAAATTCAAGTCCAAAACATGCCAAATCTCACCAAATACAACAAAATAACTTGAATCAAAGGAATAGCCAAGCAATGGCATACATGAACCCTAAACACAGGCTCTAGATATGCATTTTCACAAGACAATGCATAAACACTCACATTTCATAGCAAAACACATGTAGAATCCAAGAAATCATCATATAGGTAAGCAAAATAGATTTTGTAGAGCATGGGTTACCTCTTGTAGACAAAAACCTTCACTTAACACTTCACTAAGCTTCTAATATGGCTCACCTTCCAAACCCACTTCAAGAACACACCAAAAGATCACAAAGATCTATCTTTAAGAAAAGACACCTAAGAAAACACTAAAAACACAAGATGAACATAGATCTTACCCTCCTAGATGCCCAAATGTATGAAAGGTAGAATCTTGGAGACAACTCTTGAAGATTTGACAAAGCTTCAACTTGGCTTGGAAGAAAAGCTATCTACCTTTTTAAAGAGAAGGTAGAGCTAAAGTTTGGGAAGTGTAAGGAGAGAAATGAGGATTGTCTACTAGGTTAGCTTGCATTACTAACACAAGGTGACAAGTCATGAATAACCTTACTAACATAAAGAGGTGTAAGGGAACAAGGGAACTCCTCTCAAAGCTCAAGGTACAACTTTGACTTTGGGGTTGACTAGTCAATTACTAGTCCCTGACTATTGAATTTTCAGGAAATTAAGGAAGTAAATTACCAATTGGTTTAGGATTAATTACTTAATGGATTACGGGGTGTCACATACTCGACCTGCTACCTTTTACACACCAGTCACCACGGCCATCCTGTTCGCCAAATGGGGTATTGACCTGCTAGGTCCTCTACCGGTCGCCCCAGGACGTCTAAAGTTATGCGTGGTGGCTATCGATTACTTCACTAAGTGGATTAAATCAGAGCCGCTGGCCATCATCACGGAATATCAATGCCGATGCTTTTT